GCATGCTTCCAATCCACCAACTTTATTTCCTGTGTTATGCAATATATCTCAGACACAACTAATTGAAAGTCGAGTACTTCTGTGTAGCTCTAAGGATTAAGCAGCAGAAACTTAAATCGAATTTAATTAGAAGCTTTTTGTCTTTCATTTTTATTTCACAGATCTAAAATAAGTACCAAGTACACTTACTTTATCATAACACAACTTTAAACCTGCCAGGAGGCAAATAGTAAGGTCAGCCCACATTGTTACAAAACCAGCAGACCAAAGAAAGCTGTAAAAGATGCTGCACATATACTTTCTTTTTTTGCTGTAATGCTGCTTACAACTTCGAAGTATTTTGTCTTGCTTTTACCAACAGTGTCGTCTTTAGTACTAAACAGGAAACAAATACTAATAAACTAATTTGTAGTATATAAGGCTGGAAAGTGAAAAATTAATAAATCATGCACAGTTCAAAATACAAGACAGGCTCCCTTTATTATTATTATTTTTAATACATACACCAGCTTCATCCTAGCCCTTTTCACTCTCATCTACTCTTGTAAAAAAAAAAACCATAACTCACTGTTAATTCAAGTTTCCCTGAGATCTGAGTACAGAACAAGACAACTTCCTCTGAGGACTGAGAGGGTAACTTGTCTTCTCTTAGGCACAGCCAGACTCCAAGTTATGATTATTGTATTTCTCTGGTCAATAAGAGTTTGTTCTGCAGATGGCCAGGGTGAGAAGCCCTCATAACTGAGAATCCAAGAAATTCTATGTAACAGTAAGCTATAGTAAGAGTCACAACTTGAAAAGACCAATATGCTACACTCATTGCTAACATTTTCTGTCGTAATAAATCCTTAATTATAATCACAGTCTTATGGCCAGCCCTCATTCTGCCAAGGATCCCTAAACAACCTGCCTGTCTTTTGCAGTGCTGGGTGACAGCATGGCTGAGCAGAACCAAATATATCTTCAAGAACTGTGAGAGGGACACGGCCTTCCCTCCTTCCCATCTCTCAAGAGAAGTATGGCTCTAAGATGCTACAAGAGAATATATTCTGCTCCTCTCTCTGCCATGACCTTCATAAAAGCATCCAAGAGAGAAAGAACATGGACGAGAGACTGAACATGAGCCAGCAGTGCGCTCTGGCAGCTCGAAAGGCAAATGGGATCCTGGGCTCCATCAGGAGAGGGGTGGTCAGCAGGGACAGGGAGGTGATTGTCCCTCTCTACTCGGCTCTTGTGAGGCCCCATCTGGAGTACTGTGTCCAGGTGTGGAGCCCTCAGTACAAGAAAGACATTGAGATTTTGGAAAGGGTCCAGAGGAGGGTGACTAAGATGATCAGGGGGCTGGAGCACCTCCCCTATGAGGACAGGCTGAGGGAGTTGGGCTTGTTCAGCCTGGAGAAGAGAAGGCTGCGGGGTGACCTCATTGCAGCCTATCAATACCTGAAGGGAACCTACACCCACGAGGGGAGTAAACTCTTCAAAAGGGCTGACAACAGCAGGACTAGGGGAAATGGATCCAAGTTGAAGGAGGGAAGATTTAGGTTGGATGTTAGGGGGAAGTTCTTTACAAGGAGAGTGGTTAGGCCCTGGAACGGGCTGCCCAGGGAGGTTGTGGATGCCCCGTCCTTGGACGTGTTTAAGGCCAGGTTGGACGGGGTCCTGGGCAACCTGATCTGAATGTGTGTGTTTGGTGGCCCTGCTAGGCAGGGGGGTTGGAACTACATGATCCTTGAGGTCCCTTCCAACCCGGGTGATTCTGTGATCCCTTAAAGGAAAAGTACCATCTTATGCTGTTCAGGCACAACAGAATATTTTAACAGGAATTCACCCTTTAAGTAAATTTTTTTATGCACAACTTTGTGCAGGGAATGACAGAGGGAGAAAGCTCTCCAAAGAGAAAGAAACACAATTTACAATCTTTAAACAATTACACACAAGCAATGGAAGACTGACTTTTACCTCACTAGCTGCCAGCTATCACAGCTTCTAACAGAAGGTTTATTTACTTCTTGTTGTTTTTTCAAAGTTGGGAAGGACAGTCAAAAGAAGTGAATTAATATATAAGGATTAGAAAACATCTTAAGAATCTCTCTTCATTTTCACACACCCACAGCTTGCAGCTTTATTCATAGGGTTAGGAAGCTTACATCATTCCATGGATTGAGCAAATATTGTATGCTGCAACATCAAACTTTTAGCTCGTGTGCCACAGCTGACATTTAAAGCTATTAAATGAGCATTTTTATGATTGGTACATGTCTGCTTTCCTTTGCTCATTCATGTGCGTGGCTGATCTATAGCAGCATTTCTGATTCAGTAAATTGGAGCTTCATAATGGTGTGCTGAAATACTACATAAGACATACCAGCAGGCTCCAATGTAAGGAAAGATGCAACATTCTCTAATTGGTTAACTCTGCTCATCCTGGCAAAACAGGGATAAAAGAAGGAATCTTAGTTTGAAATCACTTTTTTTTTTTTTTTTTTTTTTTTTTTTTTTTTTTTTAATGAGCTATCTCTCCAGGTAAGCTGCTACTCTGATATTGTAGCTAAGAATGTGCATTCTCTCAACACGTGGGAAGGAAAAATCATGCAGAAACAAAGGATTAATTATTTTTTCATATATATTACCATTGTGATTTTTTTTTTCCTAGTGGTGTGCATAACTCTAGTGCCCATTTCAATAAATGTTGAAAAATATAAGAAATCCTCCCTCAGCTTTACAAGGACCCACAGCCTATTCACATCTATTGTAACCAGACAGAGTTGCTCAGGCTATTTTATAATTCAAGACAAACAGAAGCAAGACTAGCACTCATTATTGTGAGATTTCAAAGGTCCTAATCAGTCAGTGGGAGTGGAATGAGTAACTTCTGAAAGATACCCTTTAAATCAGTGTTAATAACAGTCTAATTTGACAGAACTGCTATTAGTTTCTTTCCCAATTGTTAAGTCACTACACAGTCTGTGCATGTCTTACATGATCCCAAGTTACCTGACTGATGTATACACATGTAGGGCAAAGCTGCACCACATTTACTTTAGAACTGGGAACCTAAATTAAATTTCTAGAGAATATATTCAACGGATTAAAAGTTTAAACAGCTAAGAACATGTAATGATCACGGAAAGACCTCCTTTAACTACAGGATCACTGCAAAACCTGAAGGAAACACTCAAAATCAGTACAGCAAGGGTAAAGCTGTACATTATGCTTGATATTATGTAGTACTGAGAGATAAAGGCATGTAAAATAATCTATCACACAACAAGCTGTAAAATATTTACATTTAAATGCAAAGTTGCTAGTAGAACTGCCATAGGAAAACATCTACATTTATTAGATAGACTTTTCAGAGTGCCTAGTACAACCTAGTACAAACGCCTTTGCAGACAGCCCTAAAGATACAGGTAATTGAAGCTTTAACCTGTCTGTAGACACTGATATAACAGGCTGTATGCCCATGTAATCAAGACCCAGTTTCATACTGACTGGCGTACAGCTGGCATGCACAGCGCTAGTTACAAAAAAATGAAATTATGAGTCACAGGGAAAATTACAGTCGCACAGATTTCTGAGTGTGGCAAGCCTTGTAGAGTATACAGGCTTATTTGCATAATTAGCTTGTGCTTACACAACGTTCTCCATACTGTGCTGGCTTAAAACAGCATGTATCAGCACATCATTATTTATTGGCACAAGGGCAGCAATTAAACAGGCCCTGTCGCTGTCGCACAGCAGAGCTCAGCGCTGCCCTCCGCTCCCTGTGAGGAGCTGCTGTGAGGCCTCCCCTCAGCTCCTCTGCTCTGGGCTGAGCACACCAGGCACCTCAGCCGCTCCTCACACCTTGCCCTCCAGACCTTTCACCGCCTTCATAGCCCTGCTCTGGATGCCCTCTGACAGTTTTATGTCCTCCTGGCAGTGTGGCACTCACATGGCATGCAGTGCTGGAGGCGAGGCCCTGCAAAGCAGAGCGGGACAAGCCCTCCCCTCACCCAGCGGCAGTGCTGGGCCTGGCGCATCCCCTTTGGCAGCCAGGGCACGCTGTTGGCTCACATCAACTTGCCACCAGCCAGAACAACAGAGCCCTTTCTGTGGGGCTGCTCTCCAGCCCCTGCATCAGTGAACGCTGTCTCTAATACAGCTCAAAAATGGGGATAGAAGTAATCTGAGACACCTTAAATGAGAGGCCACCTGCCACTCTTGAATTCAATTTTGCACCCATAGTATAGCCTCCATAGAGAGAGGAACGTGTTGCTATCCAATCTGTAGGCGGTAAGAATAGTGGTGGCTTGAATCATTGCTGCTATGGAAAAAACTGAATCTAGACAATCGTACTGCCATAGCAACTGTGTGTTGGTGTACTGACACAACCATTACGTTATGAAAGAGTGAAGAAATACCTCTTCCATCTCACTTTTAGAAAGAAAATAAACATAAACCTTCTCTGAAAAGCACAGTCCAGCCAGTATGTCAAGTTTGTTACAAGCATGCCTATGGATCAGACTTCTTGGGCAACACGGCAGACAGGAAAAACTAAGATCCACCCTCAAATGGATGATAAGAGGAAAATTGCTGAGGCAGATCTCTACATGCACAGAAGTGTAACTCAGCAATTGAAGAGCGTTGGAATAACAGCAGAACACACCTACTGAGCCAGGTGTAGTCAACACCTTAAGAAAAGATACTTCAGGTGGCAAGCTGAAATATATTCACCTGTGTCATCAGATTTATTGCAGAGATTGTCTATTTCTTGTTGATTGCCCCATAACGGATATTCATTCTATTTTGTGACTTCTTTCATAAAGTTGTCTTCCAGCCAATTATTTAAGAATTTATGAAATAACACTGAACAATACCCACAATTTCTTGCAAGACTGGGGGGGAGAAGAGAGGAATCAGTGAACAAGTCTTACACAGGAATAATTTAATAATCTTTGTTGGAAAGAGTGCAGGGTTTTTGACTATGTTTTTGTCTCTAAAGTATCTGTACTCTCCGAAGTTTTCATTATTCAGAAAGGCTTGCCTTGAAACAAGCCTTTTTCTTTAGCAACAGGCTGAGTAACTGAATTGAATGTACATACAATGACCAGCTTAAGGCAAATGAATTTTGAGAACACAAACACAGTTGGTAGACAAACTGGACAATAACAAGGCTTTTAATTCCCTTTTTTTCAAATAAAATTAAACTTTGAATTCCTGTGAGAATAGAGACATCGGGTTGCTGTTTAATAGGAAGCACAGCGCATACTCTGCACAACACTGTATTCACGCAAGTAGAACTCAATTCTGAACAACTGATGACACTTTTGTTTTGCTTTGCAGTTCTTGCTGCCTTCCTTACTGTTAGGGCCTTCCGAAGCTTGGTACTTGTTGACTGTGTCACAGGGCGGCCATTTGTGCCACCCTGTGAGGGAAAGGACCCTCTGACACCTGTGGTAAGCTGACAATTTTGGTGTACCTGTGTAAGAAAAAACACTACTAACAGAATCTTAGTATAAACTCCTAAAGAAAGCAATATCATGTGAACAGTTTCCCTGATTTCCTTCTTTCTTCCATGCATTCCTGATTATACATGTTGTCTTTTAGGGAGCATTACTGTTGCTAAGAGCTCTAATGCCAACTAAAGTGGCTTGCTAAGCTCTCATCAAGGGTTACACCAAACCCTTGAAGTTTCTGAACCATGTTAGAACAAGACAAAGGTAAATCAGTTTCATGTATGTTAATAACCTTTACGAAACAGATAAAGAGGTAAATCAATATTCACATAGAGCAGCACACTGTTAGATCAGCTAAAGAGGCAAAAACATCTTGATTTAAATGAGGTTGCAAAAAACTGACTGAATAAATTACTACAGTCAAACAAATAGAATGCTGGCTAAATGGGACAAAGAATCAGATTGATTCATGAGGCTGACATCAGAAAGAACTACTTTGTGTTAGTCTTGTCTTCAGGGAATTTCAGCAGAAATCAAGATCTAATCACCACAGCTTTCATGTCCCATTGGTTAAAAAATAAAAAATAGTAAAAGCATCACCAGAATCCTTAATACCAGAACAATAGTGCAGGTAATGAAACACCTGCATTCATCTTAAGAAAGTACTATCACTTAAATACTCCTTATAAAAATATTTCTACTCCTGCACGAAGTTGTGGCTAACTAACCTTTGAGTTGGGAGCACAGAATTATTTTAGATTGTAGTAGTTAGAAAAGGCTTTCAAAGCACATTCTAACTAGCTTTTGAACAACAGTGCTTTTTAATCATAACCTTTTTCAATGATATGTATCAGCAATTATTGGGAAATAACCAAAATAATGTTACTAGGCCTGCACATACACACATAAGTTATAAATAAAGCCAACGTTCTTAAAACAGAATAATTAATAAAATACAAAAAGCAAGAAGAAAATTAAGTCCAAAATTCTTCTTAGGATCTTTACCTTATGAATTTGATAATATTTGTTACTTGGAAGAGGACTGCTGTTGTCTGAAATTTGTAATGCCTGTAATTTAATCATCAGTGGGTTGCAGATATGTCTGGTTGTCCACAATAATTTTTCCCTTTAAGGTCTTCCCCTTTTTCCTTCCCTGAGCGGTTTGCCCACTGAAAGCCAAGGGCATAGAATTCTGGGTGTGAATGACAGAGGAAAAGAATCACTTTTCTTCCACTTGGTCTTTGCTTTTATGGGCAAATTGTATACTCAGCACTGCAGACTACATTCATAGTTTCAGGACATTTAGGTGAATATAATACAATTCAGGTTTTGCTAGTAAGGCTCAACTGTATCCTACTGAACTAAATTTGTTATGATTCATATTAGAAAATGTTATAATTAAATCAAGATCAGCCACATTAATCAGAGGTCATATACTCTTCCTAAGGAGACCTACTATGCCTTGTAGTCATTATGCTTTCCGCTAGAAGCAGCTTTGCAGAACCTTAAGTAGGAGGGGCTAGGTCCTTCCCCTTCCTCTTGGAGGGGCCAAACAGCTTACAGGTACAAAACCTGTAAGAGTTAGTTCTTTGGGATGCTGAAATGGAGGAAAAAAAATTTGTAAAGGCCAGAGAGGACTGCATGGAATTACAGAATTAGGTATGATTTAATTGTTTTTCAGGATACAGGGATGGAGCCACAAATGTATTCAGTTACCTCATGGCTCATGTATGTAAATACTCATATGTCCTTGAAATCACTGGAAGGTATTTAGAGGGAAAATAATACATGTAAAAGTCAACAAACGTAATAGAACCCTATAAACCCTTGTGATCTGAACCCACCCCCCAATGCCTACATTTCCAAGGCTCGTTCAAAGTAGATCTACTGAAGCTAAGAATTTTAAAGCTAATCTAACATCAGCAAAGACACATAACACATCAAATCAGAAAGCTAATCAGACAGTACACAATAAAATATATATATTTATACATATAAATTATACATACTATACAGACTTTTTGGACCATATTCAAATTAGGTCTTAGAGAAGTAAAATGGAGCATCCAGTTATCTACTTCCCCATGCATTTCACGAACAGCACGAGTGATAACACTTCAGTTAACTAGTAAGAGAAAGTGGTGCACATACGATCACTAGACACGACAACATACTGCAGGCCATCTTGCTCTTTGCATACTTACCAATCTTGGAATATCCCATGAAGATCCTCCCATCCTAATGTGTTCTGACTTCCTGCAGTCTGCTTTATCTAATTCCATTTTCACTGAGCCATTAAGCCAAAAATGCTAAGAATCGCCATTTAAACTTTCCCCATAATAAAGGAGTTGAGGTGTTTTATGCCCCACCTACACAGTAAATTGATCCAGCTGATTCAAGAGCTACGACTCCCAAATTTAAAGGCCCGGTTTGTCACGGCTCTGAATACTGAGTTTGAGAGCAGCAAAAAATAGAGATATCGTGGTTCAGAACAATGAAAAAAAAATATCTTTAATCCACTTCCCCACCCATCATTCTTACTGCAATTAGCTTCACCCAGTTCCCAAGTTCCTATGTCAGAAGCCACAAACACTCTGCTGATCTGTGCTGACTCTTTGCAGCAGCAGTTGTCTGGCGAAGAAATTCCCTTCAAGAGCTGCCAGCATCTATCCATGCAGATAGGCTTCAAGCCAGTGTTCCCCTGACTCTTTCAGTGAGCTGCAAGAACAGAAAGTTAAAACATCATTTATGAGGAGACACTATTCAGCTTCCATTACAGAAAGAGTGCTTCTACATATCTTAATTGATACTTACTTCAAAATATCTACAAAAGCTCTGAGTAAAGTCTTGCTTTTATACTCAATGCCGTGCTTATCACAAAGGGCTTTCACCAAAGGAGCTGCTTTCCAGTAGTTGTGTCGAGGCATTGTGGGGAAAAGGCTGCAGAATTCAATGGCACACAGTTATTGAAAGGCTTGGCTTGCAAAATGCCCTGTACCCATTGTTCAAATTACTTCCCAATCATCCCCCAGAATGAGAGCAAAAGATCTTCTGATGAATGTAGTTTTATTTGAGATAACACAGCCTTTCTCACTTCTAAGTGCCCATTATTATCACACTTCTCCCCATAGTCATACTCACTGGTGCTCAATTTGGAAGTTCAAGTGCCCGGTGAACCAGTCATTGAAAAAAGATTGGTTCACATTACATGTTGCATGAAGCTGGGAGGAAAAAAGACAATGATTTAGATTTTATTTTTCTGGAAGTCTAGATAATTACACCTTAACAATCACCTTTGTCTAGCATAAAAGACAACTTTTAGTGTCAGAGATTATTGCCTTAATTGACCTGAAGAATTAAACAAAGTCTAGCTTCTTGGAATAGAGGTCAATTTGGCTAGATTTTGCCTTAGGAAGAATAGTTTTTTTCACTGATGTGCACGCAGGCCTGACTGATACTATGGGATGACAGGACCATAGTGTATAACTGAGAACTGCAGGCCCATTGCTTCCAGAAGAAAGAGGATTCTCACCTGAGTAGATACCCAGTCATTGTTCTTGTCATAATCAATGTGCATTGGAATGTGGTTCATCTGCGAGACCCAAATAAACCATGTACTCTCTAGGTACCTGACCAGATAAACATAGAAGCACACTTAATGTATCTAATTGCATCCAAACTTGCCATTAAAGCAGACATTTTGACATCTGACACAAAAAAAGGGCTGTGCAGGGAGTAGGGGCTGAGAGCTTTTCAGTGGCAGTTACCAAGACTCAAAAAAGTAATGGTCTTAAAATATCTATCTATCTACCCAGCCTCTTGTAAGACTTATCTTACAGAGCACACTTGTAAAATTCAGCATTTTCTATTCCATTCCTTTGCCTCTTAAATTTTGGGGGAATTGCCTCCTAACTTTCTTTTGAGCCACAAAATCTGTCATTGCAGAGGTCCTTGAGCAGCCTCCTTCCACCCCCAACTTGTAATGATTTTCTTGGCTCACTACTTATTTATGAGCAAACTTTCATTTTGTAAAGTCTGACCAGTATGAGTTGTACAACTATTTTAGTTATTTCCATTGACACTCGATATTGTTTACCAATATTAGTCATGGGGACTTTGAGTATGCTGTGTGTTACCTGGACATCCAGTAGTACACCATGAAATTGTTAAATCCCATTAAAGGAATATACATGAGGCAGACTCGGACGTTGTAAGACACCACCAGTAACAGTTCCTGTCAAAAAAAAGAAAAAGAAGAAGATGATGCCTTTTTTGAAGATATCCCTCATTTCCTCTTCTTCACGTTATTTCAGCATAACAGATATTCTTCCTATGATCTCTTACTTATCAAGTGTGAGCTCCATGCAATCATTCAGCCTCCTGTGTGTATCCCTGAAATATTCTCAGAGCACTAACTTTAAAATCATTAACTAAACATATGTAATCCCACTCTGTATAGGTCCCTTACTTTTCTGTTAGCTTTTATCTACCTGCTGTGATGTTAAAAGTCATCTCCTGACAAATTCACTCTGGACTTGTTGAGATAAGCATTCCTACTGCAGCAGCCTAAAAAAAACCCTTTTTTATTCCAAACATCATGGTCACCTTGGTTGAAATTTGACATAGCCACCTGGAAATGCTAGGGGTCAGCCTTAGTAGGCAGCTAAGCACTACACAGCTCCTCGCTCACTTCCCCATCCCTGAGAGATGGGAGAAGAGGAAAGGAAGAGTAAAAGCAAGAAATTTTGTGGGTCAAGATATAAACTGCGTAATAACTGGACATGGAAGATGGAAAAAAAAATACACAGTGAAGCAAGAGATGCAAAAGCAATCACTCACCTCCTCCCAAAGGTTGAAGTAGACTGATGTCCAGCCAGTTCCCAAGCAAAAGATGACTAATCTCCCTAAATCTCTTTTTTCCCCTTGTTATTGCTGAGCATGACATTTTATGGCATGAATAGCTCTTTGGTTAGTTTGGGACATCTGCCTGGTTGCATCCCCTCCTCTCACACTCTTGCACTAATCACTGACAGAAGGCAGAGTGAGAAACAGAGGTCTTGATGCTGCACAGAAGCTGTTTAGCCATAGCTAAAAGTGTGGTGACAGCACTGGTTTACTCACAAATCTAAAACAGCACTGTATGAGCTGCCATGAGGAAAATTAAATCCAACCTATCCACAGACAGTACAAGTGGTTACATTTTTGAAAGATTTCTAGACAGTGTAATCGGTGCTTACCAACCACTTTTTCTTCCTGATTGCAAAGTAGAATGTGGACAGCTGGAAGAAGGGTATAAGTGCAAGTGGGGCCAATACTGCAGGAAAGAATGAAAACAGAGAGATGTTTATAACTTTGCTGCAATATAAATCTTTCAGAAATATTCTCCTCTGCAGTGAGAGGAAAACTTGCTGGTTTCCATTTGCAGTAGCTTTCATGTGCCCACATAATCTGTTCATTTCACTTCAGCACCCTTCATTTCTTTCCCATTTAATTTTCTTTCCCATCCCTTACACCTGAATAACACTTATGTTGTTACCAACCATCACGTAGTAGGGGAAGTTCCTCCTCACGTGAAGAAATGTCCCTAATTTTAGAGATTTTAGGATCTCCCTAGTGTTGTGATTGTCTCTGAAGCTGTGATTTCAATGGGAAAAATCTTTAAACCTACTACTTTGGGAAGGAGATGAAGTTGGAGTTCTGTGGGGATGTACCTACAGCATTATAGGAAAGCAGAGATACTCACAGCTGAAATACTTATGCTGGTAATTGTAAGGCATGAACTTCTTCTTCTTTTTTCCAAGCTGAAAAAAAAAAAGAACACTGTAATGATCTAGTTGGAGAACTGAGATCCTTCATAAATGCTTATTCTTATCTAATGAACACATCAAGAACTACCTATTAAATCTCTTTAATCCAAAAGCAGGCACTGAAGGTCTGAAGCAGTGGAAAGAAATATCTTATTTGAGCCTCCGTATCAAGATATCAATATGTATTGATGCCAGAACACAACAGTTTCTGTGGAGAGTTCCAAAACTCATAGTAGGGTACAAAAATACACAAAAATAACAAAAAAACCCAAAAGGCATTTGAATTTTGCAGGGGAAGATTCCAGTGGTAGCAATGATATTCAGTGTAATCATGTTCAGACATTCACCACAGAGTGCTTAAATCATCTGCGCTTGGGGAGGAAGAGGTTATTCAGGTGAAGAGTGAAAACTGAGACAGGAAACAGTGGGTGATGGAGGCAGGATGCGTCTGCTGAGAAAACTGCGCCTAAATTTCTGTATCAGATGAGCTATGGGCTGAAGACATCCAACAAAATGAAACCACTGAAATGCTTTCTGCCCATCCACAGTGCATCTGACTCATTTCTGTTAAAAGATAGACTCTAGATACTGCACGCTCAAGTTGATGCTATCAGACATCTTTCAGAAGGTCACTGTCTAGATGCTCTCATGTTGCAGCTAACAGTTTGCTATTAATAAATACTTTGTATAAACTCTCTTCCCAAGAGTCTTCCTGAGACAGCAGAGCTGGAATTTTCCACATGCATTGTAAAGATTTCATTGCTTATTACCCTCTAATGGAGAGTGACGCATTATTTAAAGAGAATGCTTATCTAAGCAAGAGGTCATTTCTTCATTCCATGAGTAAACTGAATTGCTGATGAAAGAAAAGGCAGGAGATCTTACCTACCCTGAAACCTGAAATCCTGGGAAAGAGGGGGAGCTGTGATTATGGATTTATTTTTATGAGATT